TCTACGTTACTATATGGTCCTCATAGATATCATCTAGTAGCTGCATAGCACCTGGTAGTTCTCCATTTAATTAAGGGCTTTCATGAAACATTTGTTGCCTATGTCAAGAACTGACTTTGTAGGGTCAGAAGAAAAAAATGTTTAAAGTCCCTGGATCAGCAGTATCAGAAGTCTGAACACACTAATAATAACATCAGCCATGTACACGCTAAGCCTAATCTTGCTGTTGAGAGAAAAATATATATAGATTACAGGTTTCGAAATCAATGGAGTGGGTTGTGGGCAGTACTACTTTTAAAAATAGAACAGAAGGGGCAATGTTAAATGCTTTGCGGGTGAGAGGATAAGAATTGTTCTGTATAACTTTCATAGGTATATATATATATATATATATATATATAAAACCTTTGTTTTCATTTTACACAGATAGGTATCTGTGGAGAACGTCGAAGTGGGCCTGGGTTGTGGTGTCAGATGTATTTCTCACTGCGAGTTGCATGGAAAAGCACGGAGACGGGTGGCTGGCTTTGGGAGTCTTGCACCCATGTCAGGCCCCAGGTATCACTAGCTGGGGTACTGGCTCAGAGCCCCGCACGCTCACCTTCCCGCCGTGGCCGATGGCGAGAGGGCGTGCAGGATTTGGCAAACAGGAGACCCCCAAGGCTACTTTCTTTTTCAAAAAACTTTTTATTTTGAACCAATTTTCGATGTACAGAGAAGTGGTAAAGATAACGCCTAGAGCTCTTGCACACCCCTCACCGGGCTCCCCCCCACCATCAGCGTCTTGCGTTACCACAGGATGTGCGGCCCAAGGAACCCTCACTAGCGTGTTGCTAGTCACTGAACTCCAGACTTTCTTTGGGTCTCACCAGGTTTTCTTCTTTCTCTTCCAGGACCGAGTCCAGGATCTTGGATGCATTCAGTCATCACGTCTCCTGGGTCTCCTCCGGTCTGTGACGGTTTCTTGGTCTTTCCTTCTTTGTCGTGACCTTGATGGAGGAGTCCTAGTTAGGTATTTTGTAGAATGTTCCCGAATGTGGATTTGTCTGGTGTGTTTCTCATGATTCGTTGGGGGGTTATGGGTTTAGGGGAAAAAAAGACATCATGCAGGTGAAATGCATGTCTTGTCACACCCTATCAGAGGGCACGAGATACCAACATAGCTCATCACTGGTGATGTGAAACTTGATCACTTGGTCAAGATGGGGTCTGCTGGGTTCCTCCCCTGTGAAGTTACCATTTTTCCCTGTCTGTACTCTGTTCTTTCGAGGCAAATCACTAAGACACTAAGACCTACTCTCAAGAGAGTAGGGGGTGGGGCGTGTCACACTCTATCTCCTGGAGCGGGGAGTATGTACACAACTCATTTGGAAATCTTCTGTAGGGAAGATTCGCCTCTTCACTTACTTAATAATTTATTTTTTTTTAAGATTTATTTATGTATTTGAGAGAGAGAGAGCACAGAAGGAGAGGGAGAGGGAGAAGCAGACTCCTCGCTGAGCAGGGAGCCTGACTTGGGGCTCGATCCCAGGACCCTGGGATCATGACCTGAGCCGAAGGCAGGTGCTTACCCAACTGAGCCACCCTGGTGCCCCCTTAATAATTTATTTAAGTCTGGGCTGATGTATATTTGTTTCTTATTTTGCATCATAATCCTAATCAGTGTCATTTATCTTAATGCTCAAAGTGTTCCAGCTTTGGCCATTGGGAGCTCTTTCAGTGGCTCCTGTGTCCCCATCCTGGTGTTTTTTTCTAGTACTCTCCTTAGCCAAGGCAGCTGGGGGGCTGCGGGGTTTGCAGGCCATGCAGAGGAGGGGGCGCATGGGAAGCTGCTCCCTGTTCCCTCGGTTCCTCAGTTCTCTTCACCTGCAGCTCTCTGGTTAGCCCCCCACCATTGTCTGATCTGCCCTGGTCAGAGTGCAAAACGTTCCTCAGGCTGATTGTCTGTTGCTGGCGATCCGATTCTGGAAGGCTCTCCTACCCACACAGAATGGCAGGAATTCCAAGTGCCTGAGTTTGTGCCAGTCAAGGTCTGGCTTCCCAGACTTCTGGGGGTATCTCTGCCCCACCCACTCCCAACCCTGGATCTAGCCAAACATCCCCTTTGACCTTCCCGAGGCTGATGTTGCAGAGTTGGCTTTCACCGCACCTGCTCTCGCTGGTGCACGTCCAGTGGGTGCCCTTGCTTCCTGGAGAAGAATATAACCCCACCCTCTCTGTCAGGTTTCTCCTCTCCGAGGCTCACGCCTCTGCCTGGGGCTGGACCCTGTGCTCTCCCCACCCCTGTCTTTGGTCTGGTGCCCCCCACTGGCCCCTGTTGCTTGGCCTTAAAAGGATCCTCAAGTCTCCTGTCCCTGCGCCAGCCTCCAGCCAGCACAGCCCCTCTCTCCCATCCCCTCAGGCCTCTTGAAAGAGGACTCTCAGCCGTTCCTTTTCCTTGACAACTGGGCCACACGGAGCAAGTCGCTGGGAAATCTTTCCCACAAAAGGGGTGACAACTGGTTTTGATGCGGTGGGAGGGACGGATAGGGACATTGAGTGGCCCCACCCTCAGGCAGATCCCATGGTGATGAAGTGCTGCCCCAGGCTCTGGCTTGTCTGGGAAGGCTCCCAAGAGGCAGCACCCCATCTGGGCCTGGGGAGTTGGGGTTGAAGGAGAGGAGGGAAGCCACTCCCTACAGGTCCTCCAAAGTTGGTGCAAGCAAGGGGCATCTGTTTCCAAATCTTGTCTGGTCCATGCTTTTTCCTTTTACCCTCACCCTGTAGGGAGGGCCTTTGCCCAGGGGGACAGCCACTTTACTCATGGAACGTCGTCGAGCCTTCCGTGGGCTCACACCTCCAGCACCGCCCTGCTTCCCACATTCAGTGATTCACAAGCTCCTCCCGTTTCCCCTCACTGCATCCTCCCAAGGTAAGTGGGTGTGCCCTTCCCATCAGTGGAACCAAGAGATATTCTTGTTCATGATTTGGGAGACGGCTTAGCGCTGCTGCATCATGAGTCTGTGTTCTGATACCCCCACTCCAGCTGAGCTGGCCTCTGTCATTATTCCCCAATGCTGACTTCTGCCTTCGACACTGCTGAGGACAGCCCTCACCCCCACCCCCACCCCTGGTCTTTGGAACTCAGCTGGTGATAGTTATGTCTCCTCCAGGACCAAATACCAGTCCTGGTATTTGGCTCTGAACAGACTCACTTGTGCTTACAGACCCTGGCGAATTTTGTGTGTGTGTGGCCTGGCCTATGCTAATTCATTCATTCAACAGGTATTTATGGAGGATTTTCAGGCACAGCTTTAGGCACTGGAGATACAATGATGAACAAAAAGACATGGCTTCACAGAGTTTCCAAATGTGCCTGGGAGACGAATATTAAACTGGTAATTTAAAAAATTTATACTGCAAATAATAAGTGCAATATGGGAGTATGGGAGTTCACAGTTTGTCTAGGGCATTAATAAAGGTTCCACAAGGAAGTGACAGTTTAACTGAGATATGAAGAATGAGTAGGAATTGACTAGGGGTGACAGGAGAGGAGAAAATCTTCCCAGAGGGCGAGAGTAGCATGTGCAAAGGTCCTGGGGCTGAAAGGGGGATGGTCAGTTGGCTAAGGGCAGGGAGAGGAGAAGGAGAAAGAAAAAGCTGGAGAGGGCAGTGGAGGCACCATGGGGCAGGGGCTTGAGGCATGTTTAGTATCTTGGTCTTTATCCTAAGGACAGTGAGAAGGTAGCCACTGAAGGATTTTAAGAAGAGTGATATGATCAGATTTGTAATTGAGAAAATTACCACAGTGTGAAGTACAGGGGATGGGTGCCCCCTGAGGAGACCTTGGTGGTTAGCAGGTAAACTTGTGGTCCCAGAAGAGATGAGGGTAGGTTTGAGATGGTGGCCCTACTTCATATGCTTGTTGCTTTACTTTTTTTTTTTTTTTTTAACTGTTCTGAAATGGCAGGTTTATGTGGGCAGTGTGTTCTCAGCAGAAGATGATCTGGTGGGAAGGCCCTCAGGGGCAGAAGGTTAGCTTAGTCTTAGTGCCAGCCTTTGGTAGGGAATCAGAACATGATGTGTGGACAGGGGATTCAGGGACTGCTCTTCTTTAAGTTCCTCTTTGTGCCATCTCAATTTCCCTTGCTCTAAGAATAAAACCAAACTTAATTAAGCCCCATTAAAAGCTATTACGCTAATTGGGAGCCCAGCCCCATCTTTACCCGGGGAAGAGCCCAGAACACCTGCTGCAGGTGCAGGATCCTTCCTGCCACGTTGGCTTCCCGGAATTTCATGGCGGCGGCTACCCTGAGCCACCAAGCCCGGCAATGGACAAGAAATGAAGGTGGGCTTCAAGGAAGGGCATGACCGTGCCCATCTCAGATTCTGGAGACCTGAGCTCGGGTCTGAAAATGTGACCTTGGGCAACTCACTTTCACCGCGGGGGCCTCAGTTCCCTCCTCCGCAATCGTAGGGTGGCCCCCAAATCCCTCCAGCTGCGAGCGCGACTCTCGGTCCAGCAGGCGGGATGCACGCCCGGAGGCACTGCGCCAAGCCCCCCGGGCGGGCCAGGGGCCGGGGCGCACCCACGCCGCCCGCCGCGGGAAAGGCC